ACAGGCTCAAAACTCGAAGGTGGTCGAAAACCGGGAAGAAGGAAGCGAACCTGCGAATATCCAAGGTCAGGACCGAAGGTTCGGCCCAATGAGGTTGAGAACCGAAAGTGTGTTCAATAGGGAGTTCAGTTGTAAGGATAGGGACCGAAGTTGGAGGGAACCGAAAGTAGCTGAACCGAATGTGAGTCTCGGACCGAAGGCTGATGAACCGAACCGAAGGTGAGTATCCAGACCGAAAGTGAGTTCGGTCCTTAGGTTGGCTTCGGTCCTATGGGCAGTTTCGGTCCTAATGGAGCTTCGGCTCCGAGAGGTTCGGTCCTTATGGGTTCGGTTCCTAAGGGTAGTTTCGGTTCTAAATGGATGTTTTTCAATTTAACTTCCTGTTTTGAGTGGTTTCTGACTAAGTTAAGGGTCGGGATGCCCCGTGTGATTACAAAAAGTTAAACATGATTTTGAGAGAGATTTGGGAGAGAGAGAGAGAGAGAGAGAGAGAGAGAGAGATAGAGAGAGATAGAGTGAGAGAGATTGAGAGAGACTTTGTTTGTGACCTTTGCGAGTGCTTAGCCTTGTAATGCAAGTTTTGTAAACCCCGTTAAGCCTCGTTATGAGTGTTATACTCCCCCGAAGGGTATGTAATAGTGTTTTGTCGAGTAGTTTCATCACTTACCCTGATTAGGGCTTAGGTTTCCTGAACACATGAAACCTCTAAGCGATATTTTGTATTAAGATGGTGTGTTGTACAATAGAAAACATATTGTAAATCCTAATATACAAGGGTTAGATGAGTCGACCGGTTTGACTTGTTGACTTTATTTGACTTTGACATGACCAGAAATTGACGGTTGTCACAGTAGTGTCCGTCTAATAGGGGACTACCTAAACACAATATTCGTAGCATTTGCTATAGACGGAAACTACCAGAATGTGCCTATAGAATTTTGTATCAATGTGGAAAATAATGTTGACTCTTGTACCTAGTTCCTGATGAGGTTGAAGGAAGCTCTCGAAAAGGGTAGGGAAGTATCGTTCATAACCAATATGGATGATGTCATTAGTTCTCACATAGGTAAGGTATTCCCTGATTCTTATCATGGGTATTGTTATAAGAGCGTGTTCATGTTTTTGCGAACAAGAATTGGTGGAAACAGAAAATTGGAACATTTGTTATTCCATTTAGGCAAATAATATACTACGTCTTACTTTCAACAAACATCATGTCGACTAACCCATTCTGCACGTGAGGTTCTTTCCAACATTGCAGAATTAGCCGATATGATTCAAATATATTACCGAGCTGATGTGTTTCGAACTACCTACCAGATACAAAATGTGCATCCTATTCCTCCTCCATATGAATGGGAAATACCAGATCCATTGATCGTCGTTTTAATGCGCATGTAATCACAATTAATTATGTTTGTAATCAATTTAGGGTGACTAATGAAAAATATTATTGGCCTAATATTTTAGAAATAACATAATTAAAAAAAACATAAAGCTATTTAAGCTACAAACAACAAAATATGTAATTTAAACTAAACATATTACAAAATACATAATATTTTAGATTAACCAATTTCCATAATATTTTTCACATATTACAAAGATAAATAACCATAATTTAGAAATAACCTCAAGTTATTTAACCTACAAATAACAAATTATATAATTTAAAAATACTGAACATCTTTTAGAAGATTTATATGTTTGTTCGGATATTAACCCGTTTTCGGAAGACCCGGATTTCTCACTCCCAGATAAAATACTTGACAACATTTTCGAAGCTATGACGGCTGCCGAAGAAGCTAACGAAAGGGACTCTGAAATAAGTCAGACACTCAATCAACGTGCAGACGATCTAGCGGAACAAGTAAATGAAAAAGAAAAATGGGTTACTGAAACTATGAAAAAAGTCTAAGAAGCTAAGAAGTGAATTCGAGATGCAAATGCAAAGATTGATAAGCTTCGGGCAGAATGAGACCGTCTAACAGGTGTTGTTAGAATTAGAGGAGATTTTATCGACCGAGAACAAAATATGTATCCCCTACAATTTCCTATTTTGTGGAAACGAATATAAGTATGTAATAGCTTTTGTAACAATAGTTAAACTAATGTTAATGAAACATATTTTCATTTTAGATAACAATACCAATTCTTTTATATAATTAAGTTTGAAAAGAAATTACAATATTTAAAATTAGATTACATTTCCAATATAACCGGAGGTGCAAACTAGCAGTGTCTACATGATTTTCAAACAGTTCCATGTAGGTCTCATTTAGGTTGAACCCATTATCAGTCATTTGAACTTGTTCTTCTATTGTTGCACTTGTTTTACGTGTTTCTTCGATGGTGTCCATTATGTTCACAAACTGTAGTATATCTTCAGACTTCATAATGATGAGCATTTGCATATTATATAATGCTAGTTTTTCTCTGCTCCTCGAACACAGAAGGTATTAATGGGATTTCCAGTATTACCATTCCTTGTTTCGCACGTTGATAATCACGAATCATTTCTAACGCAGTCGTATCAACAAGACGTCGTTGCTCTTCTTCGAGATGTAGTATTTCAAATTCTATTGGCAATACATCCTCATCAATCGAGTCACTGGATGTTGGAGACCAAAATTAAAAAATATAAAAATATGTATTAAAAACCAATTTGCATAAACGCATCCAAACTTAAAACCAACTTGCTGAAACGTATCCATAACAAAAATTATTAATTTGCAACTAATCTATAATAACATGTTTGTCTAAACTTGATCAGGTTCCATCTTTCGGAGTTCTATCTACTTTTAGTTTAAGCATTAACACCCTTTCTTATTTCTTTCTTAATTTTATAGGTACTTTTGGTGGTTTAATTTTTTTCTTCTAACTCAACATCTTGGTTTTTATCTACAAAACAAAACTCTAACACCATTTTAATACATTACCATCAAAATAAAATAAAATTTTATTAAAACTATTTTTAATTCGATTTTACCTCTATCGGACGCAATTATGAAAACTCCTATCAATTGAATACAATTTCTTCGTCAGTAAAACCCATTTTATTTAAGAACATCCACACAAGTTGGTCTTCATACTAATACGAGTTATTTAACAATATCAGAAACAAAACAAAAAAAACAAATATTGAATTTTTATTCCGAAGTCTCATTTCGGAACATCATTTCAGAATTGATCTTTGTATTCCGAACTACGTTCTTGGTATTTCAGAGTTACACTACAATTTTGGAATCCCTTGTAATGTCTGATGTAGATTTATTTCCTAAGTAAAATTGGTCCTAAACACTTGAAGATATTTATATAGGTCTATATGTCTAAAAGAATATATATATATATATATATATATATATATATATATATATAGACACAAAAAAAAAGATATTTCGGACTTATTCTTCGTATTGCGGACATAATTTACGCATTCCAGAATACATAAAATTGTTTGTAAAGTCAAATACAAGTAACTTAAAGAGTACAACTTACCTGGTTTGATGAATCTATGGTCAAAAACTTTGTCCAAAATACGGGTAGCACGAGCTTCAGAATTTCAAAATTCAGAATGATTGTTTCGGATTTTTGTGTGTGGGGCCCATATATATATATATATATATATATATATATATATATATATATATATATATATATATATATCATTGGGATACAGTAGTAGGCTTGACCCGTTTTGGTCTGCTTCGGAATGGCTATTTTGACCAAAATGATTAGTTTAAAAAAAAAATTGGTTGTTTTTGTTAACCATAAACTAAAATGTAGTTAGATTACACAATTTCCCTTTAAATAATTCCTCAGAGGCACGGGGTGTTTGGAAATGGTTTTCAAATTGACTTATTAATTTGTTAATTTTTCAAAAAGTCAATAAATTTAAAAAGTATTTGGCAAAAACCAACTTTTTAGTGTAAAAAGATAACCTTTTAAAAAAACCAGTAATTCCTTGTTGGTCCAAAAAATCAATAATTTGATTGAAAAACACTCTCGTACTCCCTTACAATTAACCTAAAATTTAACTTATTAAACCGGAAGTCATTTTAGTATATTTTTTTTAATACTTTAAATGTATCGTTATATGAAATTTAACCTATTAAACCAGTTATAGGAAGTCATTTTAGTATATTTTTTTTTAATTATGACATTAACACTATAATAAACAAGATCCTTTAAATAAACCTCGTCAAGTTTCATGTTAGAAACCGGAGGAACCACGTTTAATAAACGAGCCTAAATTTAGGCTTGAGCTTGGACTGAGGTCGTTTAACTCAACCACGATTTGAGCCTCGGTGACTAACTCGGCTTGTTTATGTCTTGAATACAATCTGTTAGTTTTTATATTTTGCATTATTACTTATCTTTGTATTTGGACAAATATGATATATTGAAAATTAAAAATGATAAATACCAAGGTTCTAAAAAGCTCGCCATGGCTCCGCCATGGCGCGCCACAGCTCCAAGGCTCGCACCTGCCGCCAAGTTTTGTCAAAACGCCGCCTTAACTCATATATGTGTATAAAAATGAATAATAGTTGAAAATACATGTAAAAATATTAATTATATAGAAAATTGCCGCCTTAAGTCACGCCTTACAAACGCCGTGACTCGCCAAGGCTCGAAAAAGCTTGAGGCTTGACATTGCCGCCAAATCACGCCTTACGTTATTTAGAACCTTAATAAATACCATGTTTACATTTTAGGTTCTGTAAATATAATATTTTAAATATATATACAAAATTAACCCTATATTTTTCAAGACGACTTGATGAGTAAAACCGTAAAAGTGTAAAACAACATAGTTGTGTCATGGAGAGAAGTAGAGACCAGAGAGAGTCAACCCGAGATATTTCCCACCATCGACCACAACCAATAACAAACCTAATCTAACATGAACTCTATCTCTTCAATAATTTTGAATTGTTAATTCTGCGGAGAGACCAAGAGAATCATATCATATCAATTTCGGCGAAAGAAATCTAGAGATGGTATTTAACAGTGCGTTGATCGCATCGGTGGCCACCGTCTCCGCCGATGTATGGCAATCGGTAGCATGTATCTCCGATCGAATTAGCAGCGGCGAGTTGTTAGATCTGGTGGTTTGTTTTCCGCTCCAACTGTTAGGCCGTTTTATGCTTTGTATTTGGACCTGTTTCTGTGTTCCTCTATCTCCTACTGATTCTATTTTTTCTTACGCTTATAATGATGATGATGATTGGGATTCGGATTTCGATTCTTATATGAGTTCCTCCGAAGATGAAGGATTTTTGGATTACGATCATTGAAAGATTCAATCCTGATACGATTTAATATCCTGTCGATTAATTGTAGATATACTGTTCGAATGAATGCTTGATTTCTCAGATAATTTGATGATTTATTTTTACTATTTGCTCCTCACATTAAGTTACTCTGTTGTTCTTGACTGATCATTACGTCATTAAGATTGGGGATGAAAAACAGTATTTGGGAAACCCATAAATTGAATGATTCAAGTGACAACATGGGCCAAAATTTTCTGCTTTTAAGGATCTTTATTCAAGTGACATCTTTTCCAAATTATCTTTATGCAAGTTCTTCACTTTCTATCAAAATTCTGACATTCTTGTAGTTGTACACTTTAAGTGATAAAGTGTTCATAAAGATGCTTTAGGATAAGGCAATTATCGACACTTCTATGTGATTTGAAATTTAAAGAATAGCACCACTAGCTGTTGTCTGACCACAATAGCCTATGATATGCACCTTCTTGAAATCTTTAAGGATCATAACTTATGTGTTATGGTGTCATTATAAAGCAACATATAGGTAGCTTTATTTCAATTCATGTTATTGTAGGATTCTTTCTTTATGCCTTCATAATGTTGTCCAAGGATCGAATTACCATGATCTTCGGTCTTGAAATAAGTGGTACTTTAAAAGAAGTGAAACAAGATGAATGAGTTTTCTTAAAATAGGCAAAATATAAAGGGATTTGAGTGTATGAACTCCAAGATGGATATGTGTTCATCATAATCATTATCTATGTCTCATTTGTGCTCAACATATTATGATTTTCTTAAGACCATTTGTTGTCCATGTATGTCTACCAATCTCATATGTTTAGTAAAACAATACATAAACTGGAAGGCATAAGTTAAACAAAGAAAAAACTAAATGTAAAGTGGTTGAGGCTAGTGTTTAACATGATTCTCTTTTAACATATTGTTTGTCTCTCAGTGTATTATAGGATTTAACCAACTAATTATTCTAGCTAATAGTGGCAGATTGCTGAAATACTTGTGAATTATCAAAACATACAAAACAAAGTATTTATTAGATTCAAACGAACATATAATCCACCGAGAGAAAAAAAATTAAATGATTGTTAATATGCGACTTATGAAACATGACTAACGACAATACGTATTTATACAAGAACAAACCGAGAAAGCGTAGTTAACATATATTATATAATTTATATGTGTGCATTAAGTTATAGTTATCTTGTATTATTCTTGGCACTTAAGTTAGTCGCTCGAGATAATTGTTGGTCCCCTCGAATGGCAAGTTACTGGTCCTGTATGTTCTATTGTCGTCTCAGTATGTTGTTGATATTTTACTTAGGGATTGCCTACTACTTTGCTTTTTAGAGTTTCGTTCCGGTTTGAACGTTCAAGACCACTACCACGATTAACATGTGGGAGGTTGTTAGCATATATTATTTGTTTCAATGTTATCAATGATGGTAAGAAGCATAATCAATCAGTTCACGATTTAGAAAATGGGTATTTAATGAGGCTATTCTCGATTGACCTTCAGGGGTGAGGCTATAGCTAAAGGTGGGTCACTTGACCCACCTAAAATAGAAAAAATAGCAATATATATATATATATATATATATATATATATATATATATATATATATATATATATATACTAGGTTACGACCCGTGGAAACCACGGGTAAGATAGAAAAAAACAATATTAATAATTAAAAATGATAATAGAAAATCAAAGATTTAAAAAATTCAATGAAATTAATAAGATATATGTTTTGTTTAGACTTCTATATTAGTAATTATTTAGAAATAGATTGTAATAAGAAGTTAATAACTTGTTACATTTTTTGTCATTTTTTCAAATTTGGTCCTTTGTTAACATGGAATTTTACAATAAATAGCAATCAAGTTTTACATTTTTCGTGTATATTGAAAATATATGCATATAATATAAACTTATAAACCATAAACGGGAACATATATCAATTATCAATTAACCGTATATTTAGGGATGTGATTAGATAGGCACTAATTATTGCTGAAATTAGCATATTTTTTTATTGTGTCAAAGATAAAATCAAACTAATTTTACCATTTTTGCCGTTAGTAATTTGAATCCATGCACACACGGTTGATTAGTAATCAAATTTCCAGCAAAATAGAATTTGACATGCAATCTCCATAGTGCAATTCCTATAATTTAGGAATACACTCTTATCTTCCAATTTTAAATCCGAATTTCCAGCAAAAATAAATCAACTTAATTGCAATCTATATCATACCTTATATATTGAAATCTATATCGAGGGGCAAAAACGGTATTTAACATTGGATGAAATCAGTGTTTTTGAAGGGACAAGTGGCATATTACTTTCGTTTATTAGATAGGGAGATATATATATATATATATATATATATATATATATATATATATATATATATATATATATATATAACCTACCTTGAATATTTGAGAGGACTTACTTTTGAGAAAAAAATATATATGTACAAAAATCAAGAGTTCTAGAACCCATATTTTATATTTCAATAGCCTAAAATCTCATATGCCCAACTTAGTTATGATATAATCCAACAAAAAATAGCCCAATACCACATAAAATTAAATAAAGAAAAAAAAAATTGTAACAAAAAACGCCGATTCAATTAATAGCGAACCACATAGTTTTATGTTCTAGATTTGCTACTGCCTTTAGGTAAAGGGACCGCGTCAATCAACAAAATGGGTAAAGAAAATAAAAAGGGAATTACAATTTGTCAATTTTCATGTAGTGGTAGGATCAGATCAATCCGACGATCCAATTTATGATCTTAGCTATAAAACGATCCTAATATGTTCCGGTATAATTTTTATAGGTAGGATTATAAGAGCTTACGATCAGAATTAAGATCTTAACAACCTTAATTTGTATGTTTTAAGTTAGTAATTATCTTTTATTATACTTGGTTCATAAGTTAGACAGCCATATATTGGTCCATTTATGGACATTATATTTTCTATATAAGCTTATCAATGAGAGATGATCATTCATGGGATAATATTTCAAGCCTGTTAACTCACCTATCACATAACAACTCGTGTTATAATTAAGTTACACTAAAGGAAAAACAAATTCAATACGTAACATACCTAAATGACAGAATATGTTTTTACTTAAACTTCTATACCACTATCTTTTTTAAAATAACTATGTTGATCCGACTATCTTTTGTTCAACATCACTTCCAAAATATGTTCTAACATTTTCACAAGGTGATAATTGCTTAACACACACACACAAAATAAAAATAAAATAAAAATACAACAAATAATTCCTCAACTATTTTTTTTTTTCAAATCAACACTTCTTTAGCTTCAATAATACACATTGTTATGTCCATCCACCATTTTAAAACTCTTGTAGTTTGTATATTCAACTATAGTTGTTCATCTTTACTTTTCTTCATAGAATGGATATGTTGTATTTATGTGGAAGAGACTAATAATTTACTTATAATACTAATTATATATGAACTTATGGGATTACACAGAGAGAACAACAAGACATCGAATAAATAATATTTATATAAGTATTATTAATAAATAAATAAATAAAATTAGTTTAAATAATATTTTTGAATAATTAATTAATCTAAAGGATTAACTATGAGCTTGGATAGTTATCTAATTAATGGCTTGAGGTATTAAAAATACATCCATTGGATTAGTATAAAAGAGAGCTTATTGATCATTACTGGAATAAGTGATAACCCTAAGTTTGGTCACTTCCCCTCCCTACTTGGTCGATGACGCCAACATGCTGAGAACCCTTGTGATCGATTTTCTTAAAGCAATAAGAACAAAGTGGAGCTTTGCGTAGATATTGAAGAACCAACATTTACTTGTTGTTGCTAGTTTGCTTGTATAGATACCTTTGGAGGTGATCCTCGATTTGTTCACATGTCGTCTCACTATAATCATCTTGATTTAAGGTTAATCATTAAAACCCCTTATGATTGAATGATATTCCAATGTCATATGTTCAGATGTATCGTGACAGTGAGGCCACACCATCTGAATTATACAATGTTATGTATAATGGGAAGTCATATATATTGGTATGTGATACAATTCTGTCAGACAACTAATTGAAAGTGATACCATCAAAGTTTTGTACGTCAATACAAATAGGAACTTGGCAGATCCTCTTACCAAACCTCTGACAAGAGATTTGTTGAAATTACCAAAGAGTTGTGGGTCTAAAACCACAATAAAATCGTTTAGTGGTGGAAACCCATATTGAAATTAGTGATCCTAATTTCCAAGTTTAAAGGCTAATAACAAATCCACTAATGATATAAGGTAGTATCCATAATGATATATCCATGTGAGGTGGGGTAATACGTCGATTTCGAGAACGAGGTTGAGTTAAAACTCTAAACAAAGTTTTGGACATATCTAGGCAATGTAGATGTTGTAAAACGTTTCCTATATGATATAGAAATGGTGTCACCTCACATAAAAATTAATGATTTATTCCTATATGATATAGAAATGGTGCCACCTCAAATAAAATTAATAATTTATCTTCTAAACGATCATGAAAAAGGTTTATAGTAGGTGATGTATAGGTGTAAACCGGAGAGGTCACAAGGTTTTCGGTTTAAATCAATAAGGATACCATTGAATGAGGGTTTAATCTCTGTGATACCTAAGTGACATCATTTGTCTAAGTGAAAAGAAACTTGCCAATTTTCTGGGATCGTTGGTAATTTAGAGGGTTAAATTCCAAGTTCTCAAATTTCCCTTTGTCTCATTGGTGGAAGGAAGAACTTTGTGTGATCTTATAATGCTTTCTCTGCCTTAAGCCTTCAAAACCTTTAGTTGAGGTTAAGGGATGTGACAAGTCCACATAATATATTATCCTAAAGGGTCATATCAATAACAACTATACATAAATTGAATATTTATAAGAATTTAATTCGTGATAAATATTTATAACTCTTACAAATTAATATTTTTTGAA